GCCTTAGTCTTTTGGCTAAGGTGAACTATTTATATTCCTAGTCCAAACTAATCACAAATGATAATCTGTAAAACCATTCTCGAAACATCATCCCATCTTAATTGGGCTTGGGCCCTAAAATCCGAGCACCATCAACTGCTATTTTTGTTGTGTTCCATCCATCATTTCCTGTCACACACTGCATCAGTTAAGGTAACTGTATAGGAAACCCAATGTTAAAAAAGGTTTCTTCTCCAAATACATCTTGAATAATGTGGCAGTAACTCTGCTTAATTGGCTAGAAAGGAATTAAATTATATTTTGAAACATCGTCTAACATGACTCTGAATGTTTGCATTGCTCTCTAATTGAGAGGGATCAAAAAAAGAGGATAGTAGTCACCTAGGGAGTTCATTAGGCTTGTTTTAGAGGACACCTTAGCAGCGGCTGATTCAAAATTTAGAGACTTAACACCCAGCTATAGTGGGTTCACTTTGTTCCAAAAAAAAAGAGAAAAGAGAAAACCAGGAACCTCTACAATTTATATTTGAAAAAGAAAATTCAGTAAAAAGGAGGAATGAAAGAAAGATAGTCTTTTTCCCACAAGTTTAATTTGTCTAGGCAACGTGACAAACAATGTTGAATTATGTTGTTAGACGCCACTCTAATATTGACTTAAGCACTTATATAGTGCTCATCTTTTTTTTTTCAATCGCACCGTTGGAGTTGAAGTACATGGTCTTCCATGCTTTATCGTCTCAAAATTGTGAGTTCAATTGGAGATCAATAGCTATCTGTCATAAAAGCAGTGCTTTGAACTAGAGTTCTCTTACTCGATTCTTTAAAAATTATAACTAAAGGGTTAGATCATGATAGCTTGAAGAAATACAAATGCCATGTGAATCGACACTGTTTTATACCTCCATCTATGTGATCACTTTTCGTTCCCACTTCGCCCTGTATGAGAGATTTTGTCATACATGTCTCATTTTTTTCATAAAGTATCAGAAACTAAATCAAATTAAAACCTACTTTCACTGGCTCAACCTGTTTGACTCAACTTGCTCAGTCGGAGGTCTGGTACCATGGTGGGACTTGCGGTGACAGTGGTGGTAGTTCTGGCGGAGCAACAGATGGTTGTAAAAAGAAGGAACTGTTCATACCTTATAAAGCAACTTGCTCCCAAAATTGCTCACCCCACCTTCCCTTGCAATATATTCATTTCAAGCAGATTCAAACAATCCCCACAAGCTATTTTGTTTATATCTTTGGTACACTGCACCATCCCATAGCGAACTTGATTGCTATTAGGCAGAGGTATGTTATTTGAAGTGTACAACTTGTCTGTAATCAGACAATCCGAATCAAAAGCGTTACGAAACTCATAAATGCCTCTGTAGAGTTAAAATTTTGGGTATTATAATATACGATCGCAGGTAGAGATTGTCCCTGTCCGAAGAAGTCGACATCGGAGTAGTGAATCATGCATAAATCATACCATATAATAGTTGTTTTATTTGATGGGCATACCCTGAAAATATCTTCCTTGGCACCAGGGACACAGTTCTGGCAGGTAGAGGTATTAACATCGCCTCTGCAGAGGAAGAGGCCATAGATGTTATTGAAGGTATCATTGTAGAAGTCAATGGAGGCTGATCTAGAAGAGAAAGAGTCCAAGAGGGACATCCGGTCGACTATGTAACTGCTGTTGGCTGTGTCATTGGAACAAAAGTTGGCCAGCATTTGGCCATGAACAGAGACACTTGGTGGAAAGATTAAGATCAATAGTAATATGAATAATTTTATGTCTTTGAGGAGAACCATTTTTTTTTGTCCCTTCAAATGTAATAGATATCTTTGTTATTTTGCTTCAATTTTAATGTCAGGTCTATGTTTGGAGATTATCCATATGACCCGCCAATCTGACACATGATTGATATGAAATTAGCATGTACGAATTTAAATTGGTCGAGGCAGTGCTTGGATAGTGATGGTGCTCGGATTTTAGGGCCCAAGCCCAACTAAGATGGGATGATGTTTCGAGAATGGTTTTACAGGTTATCGATTTGTGATTAATTGGACTAGGAATATAAGTAATTCACCTTAGCCAAAGGACTAAGGCTACATCCACTATCAACGGAGCTTTTTACTCGCTGGATTTATATATTCAACGGTTGGCGCCTCTGGTAAGTTTGGGGACTTGCGGTCCACTTACAAAGGATAAGGGACTAGGTATTCTCTCTTAGTTTTCTGCGTTCTTTTGCTTCTTAGCACTCACTAATCTACTTTTTTTTTGTTTGGGGGGGGGGGGGGGGAGAGAGAGAGAGCTCTCATCCTCTTCTTATCGTTATTTATTTATATATGTAAAAGTATTCCTTATCATTATTTATGATAACCTTTATACTATGTAATTGAATAACTTACAAACCTACTAATAATGAATTCATACCTTTAATGAGCTCATATCCCTTCTTCTTCTTATTTCTTCCTTCCTTCTCTCTCTCTCTCTCTCTCTCTCTCTAGTGGCAGAATCCTCCTTTCTTTTTTTTTTTTTACTGCCTACATATATGTATATACAAAATAAAAGAAACCCTACAATAACCCTACAATTCTTCATTCATTAATTACACTAAAAATTCCTTTTTAAAAAAATAATATTACAAATTGACGTAAACTAAGTTATATATATTTTAAAAATTTAGAGTATTACAGGTAGACTTAGTCTTTCCTTTTGTTAAATAATTCCTATTGTTTAGGAAGTTGACCTATTATTTTGCTTTATGGATCGACTAGTGGGATGCAATATTTTAGCTTTCTGTTTAGGCACTATTTTAGCTTTCTGATATTGAAAGGCTATATATAGCCACTTTTACATTCAATAATATATGAGCTTTCCCTCACTTTGCTTTGCATAAGTCATACCAGTATAAGAGCCACGTGAAAACTCTCCCCACTTTGCAGCCGCAGCTCAAAATGGCCATTGAAACTAATTTTGTTCATCCTGTTATTCCCCGTTGTGATGGTCACTATGATCATTGAAGCATGCTGATGGAGAATTTCCTTTGCTCCAAGGAGTGGAAAATGGGGTTCCTACTGTAGCAGAAGGTGCTATTCTTACTGAGGCACAGACGAAAGAAATTGTTGACTTGAAATTGAAGGACTTGCGTACGAAGAACTATCTTTTCCAAGCCATTGATCGCTCTATTCTTGAATCCATTTTGCACAAGGATACCGCCAAAGGAATCTAGGATTCCTTGAAAAATAAATACCAAGGAAATGTTGGAGTCAAGCGTGCATAGCTTCAGGCTCTACGAAAGGATTTTGAGACACTTCATATGAAGGAAGGTGAGTCTGTCAATGACTACTTTGCTCGTACCCTTACTGATGGGACATTTTTGAGACACTTCATATGAAGGAAGGTGAGTCTGTCAATGACTACTTTGCTCGTACCCTTACTGATGGGACATTTCCAAGTACTCCAAGATGAAGACACGTGTCCTCGACGTCACTAAATTCTTTTCCTATAAATGCGACACGTACCCATCGGATCCCAAGTCTCTGTTCCCCCGATGTACTGTTCATAGGGATCATTGACATCCAGTACGTTTACATACCGACACGTATCCCTCGGGATCGGATAGGGTACATTGGTCCTACATGTACCAATCCCCCTCGGTACCGAGATGTACCTCCGTCCAGGATGGTATTGATGTACAGGTCACTAGCCTAGGCTAGGCTAGGTTAGCTATCATGACTCTTCTTACACAATTGGTGTCAGAAGGCAGGGGACACAGCCAATGGGGAATGGACGCGTGGCATATTGTGTCACATCAGAGATAGAAAGACCGGATGTCCTTGCTGACACACGACTTGGGAAAGCAAGCATTTAATTACACCATTCCCTTGATGAAACAGCATTTAATGCGGTAAGACTCGGAAGTGAAAGGTAATAAATGTCTCTAAGGCTGGACATTTATTACATCCTTGCCAAGAGGAGCTCATTGAACAGTCGGCAGGCCAATGACATAGCCTTGGTTGCTCGGGATCCCGAGCAGTTAAAAGAGAAGACATTCTTCATAGGAATCAGTGCGCACGTTGCCTGTATCTAATGATCACCTACTGACCACACTGACAGCAATCATAAGTATTTGAGGTATAAATACTCCTCACAAAAGGCAAGAAAGTGAGGTGAAACCTTGGCTACAAATTATACTCAGTGTTTTCTTCTTCTTCTCTCTCAAAATTGACTTGATCGTCGGAGGGGATACGCCAGAAAACACTCCGGCGCCCTTTTAACTTGTCTTTCTTTGTTCCAAGGACCTTCCTCAGCCTTACTGGAACATTTCGTTGATCCACGAGGGTCTCCCATTATCGTTCCAGGTTATCACCGGACCTCACAGGCTATTCCAAACAGTAGGGTTGACCACTCGACTGACTCACTCGAGTTCACCAGGGAGAGATCTGTTCTCGTGTTTATATTGTGCAAGATCCAGCACGCATAATCTGGCGCCGTCTGTGGGAAATGACTAGTTTTCCTAGTTTCTTCTCTATAAAGAACAGTGACAATGGTGAATACTCGACAAAAAGGGAATGGTCCCCAGCAAAGAAGTCTTGAATTACAAGCTCCATGTCACCATGGAGGGAGGGAACACACTAATGGGAATAGAAATGCCTCTATTCAGTCAAGAGGCTTACTCCTCAAACCAGTATGGGCATCAGGTCAGGAGGATCCGCCCCCTTGGCTCGTCAACTGGCGGAGGTGATCGAAGAAAATTTTGGGGATCGATTACGACAGTTGGAAAAGGACAATGTGAACGTCCTAAGCCGGCTCAACGAATTCGCCGCCTCCGGCGAAGGGTCAAGAGACTCATTCCTTTCTCGTGGGCTCCCTGCCCGGGAGGCAGAAATGAAGGATCTAAGGAATCATTTAAATAACAAGGCAGAAAGCTCCAGGGCCCCAAAGCGACCGAGAGCCAACGAGTACCCTCTTAACGACCATTCCAGGAAGGCAAGGCCTTTAGCCCTGGACGACCTCCGGCGAGGGTTGTCGAGACGGAGGAAGGGAGATGAGTCTGAGGAGGATTCAACCCTATCCACACGGCGCTCAGGAAATGGGGGACCTATTGATGAACTCAGGGACTTCAGAGACATCCCGTTGGGGAGGAAATTGATCTCAGAGCCCGGTTGAAATCCAGGAGAAAGAGTAAGGCTGTCCAGGATGAGGTCGAAGACGAGGTCATACAAACACCCTTTACCAGGGAGATCAGCGAAATGGAGGTTCCAAAAAAGTTCGTCGTGCCGAGGTTCAAAACTTATGACGGGCGGTCCGATCCCGAAGCCCATCTCAGGCAATACAAGCAAATGATGTCCCTGTATCATTTAGACCAACGGTTCCTCTGTCGAGTGTTTCCTATGAGCTTGGGGGACTCTGCGATGAAGTGGTTCGAGGCACTTTCCCCCAACAGCATTGGATCGTGGAAGGAATTGACGAGACAGTTCCTGGCTCGATTCATTACGGGGAGTAAGCGGCTAAAGACGTTGGATCATTGCTAACGCTTAGACGTAGGGAATCTGAGACCCTTCGCCAGTATGTCATCCGGTACTGGGAAGAGGTTAATGAGGTAGAGGGCTGCTTGGAAGTCATGGCAGCGGCGTCTTTTAGACTCGGCTTGGCAAGGGACACGGACCTGTACCGATCTCTGACCAAAAAGACTCCCTCGGATATGGGCAATCTGATGGCCCGGATAAACAAGTACTCTAGGATCAAGGACCAGATGGGAAGCAGCAAAGGCAGAACCCTCCAACCTAAGAGAAAAGAGAGGGAGAGGGACGATACACCCCGAAAGGGACTGCTACCCCCTCCAGGGGCATCGTTCAAAGGAGTTCACACTATGTTCAAGGAACCCATCTTCAAGTTGCTCCATAAGATCAAGCATGAGCCATTCTTCAAGTGGCCCCCCAGGATGCAGAGCGATCCCTCCACCCGTGATCAAAAGGTTAGGTGTTCCTATCACCGGGATTTCGGACATCGCACCAAAAGCTGCAGGGTATACAAATATTTTTTGGAAAGATTGGTCTGAGACGGATACTTAAAAAGAATACATAGAGCCCAGGCCAAAAGAGAGACACACCCCTGCCCCGACTGAGGAGCCTGACAACATCATAGATGTCATTCATGTATGTCCGCTAGATCGCCTCACGTCCAAGGAACTCGAGTCCGATCTCAAGAGGGTAGCTTTTACAAGGAAGATAGCCGAGGATGATGGGGGGCGCCCAGTAAAAGGGCCAAGACTGGCGAGCCTAGCATATGTTCTCCGACGCGGACTTGACAGGCGTGGTGACTCCTCAAAACGAAACCTTGTCTTAACCCTGAAGATAGGTAAGTTTGACGTCAAGAGGGTATTGATAGACTCCGGAAGTTCCTCGGAGGTGATGTACTCTGACACTTTAAAATGGATGGGTCTTGGCCACAAGGACCTCACCAAGGTCAGGACACCCCTCATCGAATTCAACGGCTCGTTCACCCTGCCCATAGGCAAAATCACATTGCCAGTTGTCACAGGTTCCCTCACCATCAACACCGAGTTTGTCGTGATTGATACGGACTCTCCCTACAATGTGATCATGGGACGAGTATGGCTGCATGCGTTGGGAGCGGTGCACTCCAGTTATCACCAGAAACTGAAGTTCACTACGCCAGAGGGGATCATGAAGATCCGAGGGGACCAAACATCCGCAAAAAA